TTTATATTAAATAACTATTTGGTCAAAAAAGATTTCGGGAATAAGCATGCGTCTCCTTTTTTCTATGAAAACAGTTTATAACAGTTTTAAATATTGCTGAATAATGTTAAATTAATTTTAAACCTTTAGCAAACATTTTGATTACAAGAGAGCATAATATAATTAAAAAATAATTGTTTCTACGATTCTATTTCATGTTTTGCAAATTGATTACATATAACAATTGTTTATAACATTCTTGCACATTGTTAAATAATTTTGAATTAATTTTTTCAATCCATTTTCACTACAAAAAGAAAAGAATTGCTGAAAATAAATCAACAGAGAGGGTTAATTAATGTTTTTGTTATTCTTAAATAATATGCAGAAACAGTAAATAAAATTTTTTATTAATTTTAAAATTCAACACATTTAGAAAAAAAAATTATCAAAAATATTAGGAAGAAAAGCAGAGCAAAGTAATTAAATTCAAACTGCGAATAGATATCTCAAATACTATGGATTATTAATAGTAGAGAGAAGGTTATTTCTTAATGACATAATTATTTAACTCATTAAGTCCGTTGTAGAAACCAGCCATTGTATTTAATAATTTCTTGCCTGTCGTGTTAAAAAAAAATCTGTCCGCGCAAGCGTGGACACATTCTCATCCGCGCTTCGCGCGGGGGCTCGCTTCGCTCGCGGTGATCTGCAATTATTGTGCATTATTATATTGTGTTCTTGTTTCCTATTATATGTTTCATAAAACATTTTTTTTCTTAAAGTTACTACTACTTTAAGGATTACATTCTCATCACATGTTTTTGTTTGCTGATGATTGCGAGATTAAGTGCATTTAAATGTATATTTTTGGTCTTGATGATAAAATTGAGAAGTTATTTTTAATTCTACTAACTCTCTTAGCAGAAACATGATTTGCAGAAGCAGCTAAAATATTCTTAAAGTATTAGTATTATTATAAGTTTCTTGTGTCGTGTAGACCGGAGCGTAATGGCTAAATTTTCACTCTTTGTTGATTTACTCGGACATTTCCTAGAAAAGTTACTCTGGTATCTCAGCTTTCTTTTAAAAAACGAACGTCCCTATATTACTCTCACATTTGTTTCTACAATGAACGTACACTTCGTACACTGAGAAAACTGGAGTATTGGACTAAACATCTGGAGGGACAAATCGTTCATATTTAAGAGTTAGCTATTGGATAACAATCTAAATGTTCAAATACACCATTGACAGATATTCGTGCCATTTCTCTTGGAGGAAAAATGAGTTTATAACAGAAGGACAAATTAACCATCTTGAGAAATCCCTTCCTTATCCGGCGCGAAATGAATAAATATGGCAACCTAACCCCTAAATTAAATACATAAAATGTCAGAAAAATAATTTCGCGCGCATCAGATCGTACACATTTTCTGCGTAACTTTTAACCCTCAGATATAATGGGAGAGAATATACAAGTAGATTTCCATTATCAATTCAAAATTTATTTTAGAAGGACTATTTAACTCTCTCCATAAGCAAAGGAAACATACACTTTTTGAACCTCCGAATTTGACACTCCAGTTTTCTCAGTGTAGGTATCGTAGGTTGCTCTTTATGCATAGCGTGTTGCATTAGCCAACACGCCCTAGGGGTACATGGGAAATATTTTGTAAGTTTTATCAATACAGTAAGTGTGAATCAAAAATCTCAAATTGACCCTCAAAATAAGTTTCAAGCTTAAAACGCGATTTTAGTTTCTTTTTTAAAGTTATTTTAAAAAAATTAGAACGAAAAAATGAAAATTTTGAAAAGTTACTTTCATATGTGAAATACAGTTTTTCTACTATATTTCTTACAATAGTGATTGAATAATAAATAATCAAACTTTGTAGAAACTTGCAGTACATCAAGTTGTGTTTGGAGCGAAATCATTTCGATTTACGATTTTTAAATAAATTACAATTATTCATTACGCCCCTTAGCCATTATGTCCCGTTCCCCCTATACCCTAGTAGAAATTTGTCCTAGTTATTATAAAGGAACTGTCCAGTCGCGCTTAAAATTGTCTAGTTACTTTACAAGCCAACTGGCTAATAACTGGAATGGAGTGTCACGCTTTTTTCATCAAGTTATTATCTAGCCCAACTTTATAAATTCTGGTCAACGGTTCTGTAGAAAAACTAGACAAATTAATTCTTTTAAAATACTGAAAATTTGTTTAATATTAAGATTTACTGTAGTTAACACATTTATTTCATGCAATTAATATAAAATTTCTATTTAGCACCAAAGAAATTCAATAAAAAATATTTTTGGAAAATTTCTGTATCCATTATAATATGTGACGCGACCCGAAGAAAGGTACCTAAGAAGCAAACGAATTATAGGTTGGGTTCGAGTTAGATTTATCTTGATTAAAAGTTCATTTTTAATTATTTGAATTTTAAACCAATATTAATTGAATATTTTGAATATAATGAAAACTTGAAAACCAACAATTTTTAATTAATAATTGATTCTCTTTCTGTATTTTTACTTAAAAAATTTAAAACATAACCTCAAATTTTTTCCTTCTTAGGTACCTTTCCTCAGAGCGTGACACAAATATACATAATAAATGGAATAGAATAAAAAATTATATAATATTTTATAATTTTTAATTAATAAGTTGAATTATTATATAAAAATAATTTAAATAGTAAATTATTACATGTAATTTTCTACATTACCTTTTGATTTTTAATTCAATTAAAAAAAAATTCTAAATTCAAATATCCTAAATATTTACTGTTTTCAAACATCTTTCTTTTTTTAATGCACTATTATTAACAATAACACTGAAACAAATATTTTTTATTAGTATAAACAATTATAATCTATATAAACCTTAAAATGATAACGCAATTTCACCGAAAAAATCTTGGGGGGTAACGGGGAGCGAACCCAGGTCCCGCTGGACTAAAGTCGCACCGCTTAACGCACTCGGCCGTTCAACGCAATGGATACTGAGAATTAATAACAACTGCACATATGTTTCAGTTCAGTGACGTAACTAGAGATTTTAAGCATTGGTATATACTTTTAATATTTTCTATGTAATAAAACATTTTAGATGATTTTTTAATTATTATAACTTTTTAGTAATTTAATTTGCAACGTTAACAATTAATAAATAAATTGATTACTGTAATTAAATTTTTAATTATTTTTATTTTTTTCATGGGCGAATTTCCCTTTTTACGGGTAGGGGAATTCTAGTCAAATTTTTGTTTCACAAAAAAAATAATGTGAAACCCTTAAAATTGCAGATTGAATTTTTACTAGGGGATGGGAGGCTACTTAACCCTTATTGGGACTCGTAACCCTCTAGTAAAGTGGATGGATCAAAAGATAATAATATTTATTAATTAATTTTATTATTTAATATGAATAATTGATTATTAATTAATAATAATAAATTCATTACATTTTTAATTAATAGAAAATTATAATTAAACTAAAATGGAATTTAAAAAATTAATTTTTAACTAATTTTATAATTTTTCTACTTATTATAAATATTTATTAATTAATTTAATTAATTAATATTATTAATTTATTTTATTAATTATTAATATTATTAATTAATTTTATTAATAATTATTAATATTTTTTATTATTAATTAATTTTATTAATTAATATTATTAATTTATAATAATAAATTAATTAAATTTTTAATTAATAACAAATTAAAATGAAAAGTTTTAAAATATTGGAAAGAATAAGAACAAATTTATCTCTAGCAAATAATCAGTCGAGCTGTCTTGTTATTAGACATTATTGCAGTGTCATCGACACGACAAACTTAGAACTATAATTTCTAGGAGTACTTTAAAGTAACATTAAAAAAACTAGACAGAAGTTATGTCTAGCCAATATCAAATTCAACTTGAATCTTTGACGAAGAGCGTTGGTCAGTAACTTTACAGTTATTTACCAGTCCGCCTAGAATCAGCGTCCGTGACAAAAACTGTCCAGTAACTTGAACAATCGAGTGGCTCCATGACAAATTTCTACAGACGTAATCGCCAAACCATGTTTTTTGAATTCAGGGAACCTCAAAACGCAAAGATTTCATATACAATTAGCAAAAGTCAGTTTTCCATCAAATATAATATCTTCTCATGTGATGAGAATATAAAAAACCATTTCCAACAACATAGGACCAAAAATTGAAACGTAAAAAAGGGTCAGACCAGCCCAACTGTGTTAATATCATGAGATTTTATAAAAATAGCGAAAATCAATTTTCGATCAAAACTAATACTTTCTCATGTGATGAGAATGTAAAAATATTTTAAATTAAAAATAACATTTTTTAGTTCTAGATAAACCGTTTGGCTATACCTGACCCAAAAACTTCAAAAATAAACCTGGCCCAAAAACTTGAAAAAAAAAATTCATAACTTTTTTGTTTTTTGTTGTACAAAAAAGTATCTTAAGGAAAAGTTGTTTTTTTGTACAAATTTTAAGGAAAAAATTTAAAAAAAATATTATTTTGAAAATTGTAAAAAATACAAAATTTTGAAAATTTAAAAGTTTTGTATTTTTGTCGTTTTTTGACGAAATGAGCTGTCCAAGGAACTTAGGCTTTATTTTAATGGACTAAAAAAGCACCCCAAATTGCAAGTTGATTCATGAAAATTTATTCGAGTTATCGTCGAGACAAAATTTTCTACAGACAGACAGACAGACAGATCGACAGACAGACACTTCTTTAAAAACCATTTTTTTGGAATCAGGGGGTCATGAAACGTGAAGATTTATCAAAATTAGAAATTTCTCAAAATCGCACAAATCCAAGACTTTCTCATTTTTGATGAGAATGTAATACACTTTTATAAATAGATCCCTTCAAAAAGGCCAAAAATAATAAAATTTAAAAATACCCTCCCACAATTATATATTCTGTAATTTCTCTTTACTTTACCATCATTAATACTTAAATTAAAAAAATTAATTTTGTTTGATTCAGGTCCATTAGTGAAATTAATGGCATCAGCCTTAAAAAGTTCAGGATGGTACGTAAATTTTCATTTTAAAAGTTACAATACATTTTTAATGTTTTGAAGTGATGTTATTGAAGTGTTTTTAACAAAACACTTCAATAGACTGAGAGGTTTAAAAGTGTTTAGAAATTATTGTAGTAATGAGCCGCATTTTTCAAAGAAATTTCCTGCTTTCTTTCAGACACAGAAATCATGGTCTATTTTACACAAAGCCTATTTTAATTGTGTTTTTATTTATTCTATTCGAAAGTTCATCTCCAAAACTAAGTTTCTTTGTGTTGTTTTCCAATTTTCATTGACAAATTTGTGTACAAATATTTTTTTAATACTTTCCCCATTATTTTGTTATTCGAAACTAGAGTTTAAATATTCGTGGATTTTCATAATTTTTATTGAAATTTTTAGTGCAATTTTACTTACTATTTATATCATTTTAAGTTAACAAGTTAGTATTTATGTTAAATTTGCATAAAGAAATAGCATTTTTAGGTTTAAAACTACAAAAATTACTAGTATTTTACGGCGTATTTTAATGGTATTAAGTTTTTAAAAAAAACAAGTTATCGTAGTCTTTACCACTTCGTGCACCCAAATTTAAATAATTATTGAAATATTGAACAAAATGGGAAATAAAATTACTTTATGCATTACCGATGTATTATGGCCACTTAATCTACCTGTATAGGCTCATCCCAATTTCCTTCTTAAAATTTGCTGCAAAAAATTAAAAAATAGGTGAAGTATTATCTAAATGTGGTTCAGAAAGTTTCGTAATTTTAAACCTTACAGAAAAATTACTTCTGCCAATTTCAAGAAAACTGATTGACAGTAATATTAAATTGGAGGATCAGAAATGGACTGATTGTAATTTTTAATATTTTAAATCTAACTCACATTTGAAAATTAAATTAATTTAATATTAAATTGGTTAAAATTGAAAATTAGAAGTTATTAGTACTTGATACATAATTTTTGTTCTATATACTTCGAGTGAGGCTTTTCAAAAATATTTTATTTATTTTATAAAGAGGACAAACGAAAGTTCTGCTGAAAACCCAAAACATGAAGTTTAGATAAAATAACTTTTCATTTATTCATAAAAACAGTAAATTAAATTGCATCTTATCTATACTACTTAAATCTACTTAAAGCAAAGCGTGAACAAAAATATTCTTTATCGAGCATTTTTTCATAAACATTATTTGTTTATAACATCTTAAGGAAAATGTTTTAAAATTTTTTAAAATGTTTCTAAAGTTTCAGCTAATTTAGCAGAAATTAGAAAGATAATTTCTGTAAATTTTGTACGTTTTTCTCTTTCATCCTTTTCATTAATTTATTAAAATGTATAAATTCTGGTTATAGTAGAATTGAAATGTATTTATTTTATAGTTTTTTATGTTGAATTATAAAAGTGTGTCACTCAAGATTTTTTTACCATGAATTTGTAGTTTTAAGTTGTCTGATTACATTAATGTTTTTTTGAATGGAAAATATATAAATCTCTATTTGTTACAGTGAATTTGACATTCGAAGGCACGTTGCCTGTGAAGTTTGTGACTTCAGCGTTAGTGGTGGATATGATCCTGAGCTGAATCAGGTAATTTTCTTTCTTCAAATTATAGACCAACTGAGTCAGTATTTATCGTAAAAGACAAATAATTTAGGTAGCTCATGACATAGATTTTTATAAATATCTAATTATAAATTCGTATACTAATAACAGAAATTCTGTAAACACAAGTAAACTAATTCTGATTGCCATATTTTAAAATCTACTGATAAAAAACTATTAGGTATTTTGATTGTATATTTTCAGATAGTTATATGTCACAATGTTGCTCGAGGAGTAGGAAAGATACAAGGAGTATTGACACATGAAATGATTCATATGTTCGATTATTGTCGCAATGATCTTGATTTCAAAAATATTGATCATCTGGCATGTACAGAAATTCGTGCTGCAAATTTAGCTCACTGCAGTTTTTTAAGTTCTTGCGCAAATGGTACATCGTCCTTTATCAATATCAAACAATCACATCAGGTAATTTTTCTTATCAGAGAATAACATAATTAACACAATTTTTATGAAAATAAAGTTAATGTTAAATCTAGATCAAATTTCATGTAGATATACTAGTGGTAACAAAAATTAAAAAAGTTATATTTAATTTTTATAGGATTGTGTAAAAGATAAAGCAGTTTTGTCTGTATTAGCAGTACGTAAAGTATCTGAAGAAGAGGCACGTGCAGCCGTTGAGCGTGTATTTACGAAATGTTACAATGATCTGGAGCCTATTGGTAGACGAATTAAGAGGAATTCAGTAGATATGCATAAGGCTTATCTTGAAGCACCAATGTATGGTTATGAACATATAAAGTAACTATTACTGTTTATTCAAATGAATTATGTAAATATTTAAATCATGTATAAGTTTTTATTATAAATAAATTACTTTGGAAATTGTTACATATTCGTTATTTGGTACATTCTGTGACGTTTTACAACGAATAAAAAATTGCTTTCTTTAAGTAGGAGGAAATTGAATTTTTTACATTCTCATCACATGAGAAAGTATTTTATTTTAAAATATCAATTTTCTCTTTAGGGGTTGGAACTATGTTTTATTTTTTACAAATTTAATATTTTCTTCAGGAGATCCACATACAGATTTTTGAAAAATGACGTTTTTTACGTAAATTTTTTTTTAAATGCTTATAACTCGGTCAAAAATTAATCAAATTGGACGTTTTTATAATGAAAAGTTTTGTGTTTAAGCGTAGGTTTTAATAAAAATATTTTTAAAATTTTTTAAAATAATTTACGATAAGATTTAAAAATTTTTAAAATAAAATTTCATTTTTAACAATGTATGTATCGATCAATTTTTTTCAAAATTTTTTGTAAGAAACTAGCACTAAATTAACAATTCTTAAGCCTTGTCCGATCGTGGGCAAACGATGGGATCTATTTATTTTGAAATTTTTAATTTTTATATACACAGTGAAAACATTAGGCCTAACTTGTCATTTGACCAAATCACAATTTTACACAGAAAGAAGGTTAAGTTTGGAGAGACTCAGTCTGAAAACACATTTGCTGTGAAAAATTTGTGTGATTTTGTCAAATGGCAAGTTAGTCATTTGGCCACCACTGCGTATATAAAAATTAAAAATTTCAAAATAAATAAATCCCATCGTTTGCCCAACGATTGGACAAGGCTTAAAAATTGTTAATTTAGTGCTAGTTTCTTACAAAAAATTTTGAAAAAATTGATCGATACATACATTGTTAAAAATGAAATTTTATTTTAAAAATTTTTAAATCTTATCGTAAATTATTTAAAAAAATTTTTTTAAATATTTTTTTTAAAAACTACGCGTGAAAACAAAACTTTTCATTATAAAAACGTCCAATTTGATCAATTTTTGACCGAGTTATAAGCATTTTAAGAAAAAATTTACGTAAAAAACGTCATTTTTCAAAAATAAAAAAAAAGATAAAAATTTATTTTGAAACTTTAGAAATATTAACAATGAATAATGCTAGCTTAAAATTAAGTCGAACCCTTATTTAAATTCTAAAACTTGACCATTCTACGCTGTGGTTGCTTCAATCGTTTGTAATTTATTTATGGGCATATCTCTGGAACCTTTAACTTTTTATAAATATGGTAAAAGTGATTGGATTTTGGGTCAATCAATGTATTTTTAAATACCCTATAAGATAGTTACAATAATTTAATAGTTAGACAAAAACGCTTCATGGCAGCGTTTTGCGTTGCGTCGTAATGGGAGAGAAAAAGACACAAATATACGTTTGCTGCATTTTCTCTTATTACAACGCAATGCAAAACGCTGCCAAATCGGGAAAAACCCGGGAATTTGGTTCGACTTCAAAAAACCGGGAAAAACCCGGGAATTTTCTATTTATAGGGTATTTTTTGAATTATGTATATAAAAAATTATAATTTTTTTCAAAGCGTAATATAATAACACGGTCACAGCTCAAATCGTCAAGGGTAAATTGATAGTATGAAGCAGTAGTAAAAATAATAACTTAAATTTTATTTAAAACGACACTGAGAAAAACGGAGCATTGGACTAAACATCTGGAGGGACAAATTGTTGATATTTGAGAGTTAGCTATTGAATAACAATCTAAATGTTCAAATACACCATTGACAGACATTCGTGCCATTTCTCTTGGAGGGAAAATGAGTTTATAACAGAGGGACAAATTAACCATCTTGAGAAATCCCTTCCTTATCCGGCGCGAAATGAATAAATATGGCAACCTAACCCCTAAATTAAATACATAAAATGTCAGAAAAATAATTTCGCGCGCATCAGATCGTACACATTTTCTGCGCAACTTTTAAAGGCCAACGCAGAATAGATTTGTAACCGGAACCGCAATCGTAAGCGTTACTGTAAGAATGAGTTAAAGAAGGATAGGTTTATTGTTTATCCTTCTCTAACTCATTCTTACGGTTACGCTTACGATTGCGGTTCCGGTTACAGATCTATTCTGCGTTGGCCTTAACCCTCAGATATAATGGGAGAGAATATACAAGTACACGGAGAGAAAAATCAAGCGTTTTTAGTATGGAGACTTCCTATGGTAATTTTGTATGAACGCCCTGCTTAAAAGGCGTGTTTTTATACCTCAGTTGCATGAAACATATACTAAAATAGCATAGATCTCTTGCAATCGTAGTATACTGACGCCCCATGCGTTTAAAGGTAGAACTTTTATGCTGATAACGTAGAAATTCATACAAATACAGCAGAAATTTTACGCCTATTGCGCATGTGAATTCTTTTACTAAATAAGGTTAACTGTCCATACTAAAAACGCTTGATTTTTCTCTCCGTGTAGTTATATTTCATTCGATTTGTTCGAAGATATATAACTTGTAGTACCGCGACTTGTCGCTGGATGACGCCACTTAGTGATGCATAACGAGACTCTGTCCTTTCATAAAAGGAAAGAGATGAAACTATAACATTCAATTGTTTTCATTGTATTTTTCGCGAGATTCTCGTTCTCACGAGACGATATTCGCTCGTAATGCATCACTAACGCCACTGTTCAGAGATAGAAAGAGAAAAATTGTCCGGACTACCATGTTCCCTCTCTATCTATCTACGTATATGTTCCTCTTCCTTCATTCGTTTCTTGGCGTTGGTGACGACCACATTCTTTTTTACAACGATGAGTTCAAAGCAGCAGCGTCTAAAAGAAGTGGAGGCGGAGATGAACAGACTTCTCGGAGAGATAGCGGAGGAGGATTCTGGACATCAAGACGATCAGAAAGATGCTGATCTTGAATTCGTAGGTAGGTTAAAGTCAAAAGCTTCTCGCCATGTAGAGCGGAGGTTAGATTTTTCAAACAATATGGCGGAGCCTCAACCCAGAGTTGAGGCCATATGCCTAAAAGTTCTACCTATCTCCAATCTCGAATTGAAGAAGGTGAACAAAAATATTGCTGATCAAATCTACAACAAACAATGTCTAGAGAAATCAACTTTCCCTTTTACAGACGTAATTAACTACGAGAAGCAGATGGAAGTTGAAACACAAAATTCAGATCCGAATGACGATGCCATCCCACACAGCACATGATATTTCTTAAATATTTTCTGAATATTTCACTGAAAGATTGAAATAATTCAGTGCAAAGTTCTAGAAATATTTCTGCAAACAGGAAAATGTCCGCTTATGTGGGAATATTGACGCGAAAGTTGAGAAAATATTTCATTGAAATATTTTGGAAATATTCAACTGAAATGATGCGCACTGGTCGAACTCAGTTTCTATGGCCTGTAGAGCTGCGCAGTAGTTTTTGGCTTACTATATCCTATGGGTTCTAAAATATTTCAGAAAATTCCTATTGGTTTGAGGTGTTTAACAAATTTTTCCATTTTGTGAAATATTTTCACAATATTGCAGAATCTTTATGTGTAATATTGCAGGAATATTTCAATGAAATATTTTCTCAACTTTCGCGTCAATATTCCCACAAAAGCGGACATTTTCCTGTTTGCAGAAATATTTCTAGAACTTTGCACTGAAATATTTCAATCTTTCAGTGAAATATTCAGGAAATATTTAGGAAATATCATGTGCTGTGTGGGATAGATGAGGCTGATTATTTTCTCGGCGATAATCCAGATCAAGTAACCGATGAGATTAATCTAAGAGAGGACATTGCTAAAAGGATGAAACTCTGGATAAAATCCGGTTTGGGAAAAAAAGAAGACCGAGAAAAACTCATTGCAGCAGTTCCAAGAAAAGGTCAAATAAATTTAGAAGCCCCCTTGTTAAATGAAGAAATCGTAGTGGATTTACACCCGAAAGCTCTCGCACGCGATGAAAATTTTCGGGAATACCAAAATTTAACAGGATCGGCATTTAGCTGCATCGTCTTCTGTCTTGTCTATGATATTGAACGATAATGAGATTGAGCTGGACAGAGATTTATTATTACAACTGCTGTCATCCTCTGTGAAACTGAACGCTGATTTATTTTTTTTGCTTTCACAAGCTAGAAAAACTTTCGTCTTGGGAATATATGACGAAAAAATCCAAAAAATACTAAAGAAGTTTGTAAATCCTTTTTTATTCGATTATCGGAAAAGTGATAAATGAAACAATGTTACATTAGTTGTGCAACGTTTCGGTGTCTTGGTTTGACACCATCATCAGGCCACTTTATTAAACAATAAAAATTATTTTTTTTTTTTAAATTTTACAAATAAAAGATTTTTACAAAAAAAAAAAATTAAGTTAATACAAAAATTAATATCTACCTAGTCATTTTACAAAATTAGTTTAAAAAAAATTATTCAAATAAATAATTTTTTGTTATATTTGTTACATTAGTAACACGTCTCAAAAACATAAAAAACGTCAAAAAATTACGAGCGAACAGTTTCACATAAAACACGGACATCTCATACGAGTGACAAAACAAGACTAAAATCTGAAGGAGACAATTTTGCACGTCATATAAACAGCACGTGTGGAGTCAATGAACTCAAATCAAAATAATCGAGATAAGTTCACTCTTTCAGTTTTCTTAATAGAGGAAAATATGTATTGCTTAGAAATTGTATATCTTCTTTCTTATTGATCGTGTTATCGTTAAACTTAATATATAACATTTCAGAAATTAATCGTTTTTTATAATTTGATTCCAAATCTACAATTTTTACTTCATCAAAATTGAAAGAATGATTGAGTGTAGTTTGATGTTCATTAACTACAGATTCAATTTTTTTGTTTTTGTGTTCTTTGATTCTTTTTTCCAAACTACGTTTTGATTCACCGATGTAAGTGGCGGAACAATTATTACAGTTAAATTTGTAAACGATACCAGTTTGGTTCCATTTGTTGGTTGAATCCTTACCTAATTTAACAACTGAAGTTAAAGACTTATTAACCATTGGAATTGACAATAAATT